GGGATAGTTTGGGGGACTGGGATGGGGGGAGGGAGGAAAGAGGGATATGGGAGCAGGGAAGTATATATCTAACTAAGGGAGCCATTTTAGGGTTTGCAAGAGACTTGATTCTAGAGGGGTTACCAGGTCCAAGGAGAGGTCCCCAGATTGTTTCCTGGGCAGCAGAGGAGTGGGTGCCTGAATTGGCCTTGGCCCATAACCATGTTGATGAATATTTTGCATATCACCATAGAACCTTCATCTGGCGATGGATGGGGATAGAGACAGAGACCCACACTGGAACACAGAACTTAACCCCCTAGGTCCAAATGAGAAGCAGGAGAATGTGAACAAGGAAGTCAGGATCCGAGGTTACTCTTATCAGGCATTTGATTAGAGTAGCAAGGAAAGTAACTCGTATAATTACTAACTGTGACATGTGGACAAGTTCTTCAACTTCCCTTTATGCATTGTTCTCATTATTAAAATGGGAATAAGGAGTGGACCAGTTGTTATGAAAAGTAGAAGAGTTAATGGTTTTTGATCTGTTTTATAGAGTTCAGTGTTTCCTTGAATGATGTTTATCTTCTTGGCATCTTATTAGCTATATAAGACCTACAGTGCCCTTCTCCCCATGATAGTACACAAAGGTCACAGTGTATTGGCACAGGAGATTAGTTATGTTCATCAAAATTCTTGCTGTACATAGACTAACTACCCACTTGTCTGCATAGATATTTTTGGAGTTTATAGCTGAGTCCATACCTCAGAGCATGGTACATGTGTGAGAGATCTGTGTATTAGCTTTGGTTAGCCTGACTGGCAGGGTTGAACTGACTGTGATTTTTTTTTAAATGAAAGACATTTCAACTGGCTTTATTGAATTTCTATTGAACACTTCACTAATGTCGTCTGAGCTTTGGAGGCAAATTTTTCTAATTAAAAGAGAATAGATCACTTTAGCATTGGAGATTGCAGTGACATTAGGAGGCATTGTTGGTCAGTTTGAGTTTCAGTGAAAGGCCTTCTGGGAAAGTTAAGGGAATGTATTGAATTTCTTTAAGTGGAAAATAGGCATTGATCAGGACCATAAGGGACTGGTTGGCCAACTCTTAAAACAGAATCTGAAATCCCCAAATACATTGTTAATCTAAGTGAGGGATGATATAGCATTAGGAACAATTTCAGATAAAATGTTGTTATATTTTCAAGGGTACTTTTCTTCAACACTTCATGTGATTATTTGGAGATGTTGAAAGAAAATTAATTTCATGTTGCAAACAAACAAAAAACGTTTTTACAGTTCTTAGTTTGGTAATGTGGGGCTGGAGAGATTAGTGATTAAGATCACTGGCTGCTTTTCCAGAAGTCCTGAGTTCAATTTCCAGAACCCAAATGGCAGGTCACAATTTGATGTCCTCCTCTGGTTTGCAGGCATACATGCAGATAAAGCACCTCTATACATTAAATAAATATGTAAATACATTTTAAAAAATCTTCAAAATTGTGTAGCCCAGCTGGCCTCAAACTCATGATCCTTCTGTCTCTACCTCCTTCAGCAAATCCTACTGGAGTGCACCACACAACCGGCAGCAGGTCAAACAATGGTGGGGACACCCACGGAAACAGTTTACCTGAACTAGTGGGAGCTCACCAACTCCAGCTGGACAGGAAAGCAACCAACATAGGTCCAAAACAGTCCTTCTGAACGTGGGTAACAGTTGTATGGTTGGGGCAGACTGTGGGGCCACTGGCAGTAGCACCAGGATTTATCCCTACTGTTTGTACTGACTTTTTGGGAACCTATTCTCTTTGGATGGATACCTTGCTCAGCCTAGATATAGTAGGGAGGGTCTTGGACCTTCCCCGAAGCAATGTGTCTTACCCTCTCTGGGGGATAGAGTGGGGGGATAAGTGGAGAGAATGTGAAGATGGGAGGGAGTGGGAACTGGGATTTTTATGTAAAATGAAAAAAGACAGTTTTTCTTTTTAAAAAATAAAATAAATTATTAAATTATTATTAATTACTTTTTAAAAAAGGAAATGCTTTCTAACTTCCTTTGCCAATGTGTTATTTTTCTTTATGTTTTTCATGCTTCACACCTGTTATCAAACTATGACATCAATTTTACCTAAATCTGAGGTAGGAGTAAGACTACTGATTTTTTCTTTCTAAAGAATAAATCTAGTTTTTCTGCATGCACGTGATTACTTTTCAAATGTGGTATTTGATCTCTACTTTTTATGAACCACTTCATTTTAAACCCTAAAGTGTTAAGTCACATTATAAATTGTGAGCCATAATGCTATCATGGAAGGACTGTGTTTTCCACGTTGTTGTTTAGGAAATGAATCCTAGAAAAAACTTTATGCAGATGTTGTTCTGGAAGCATTTCTGATGTTTGGAACTCTCTGATGCTACTCGGAAGGAGACCTCACATTAGGCTACTATCTCCAACAACACAGGCCATTTTGTTTTCCTACCCTCAGACTATCAGTGATTGATAGTCTGAAAAATCAAAGGCTTTGATTTATACCCCGACACAGAAAATAAACAGCCATCACTATTAATAAATGTTAGACTTATGATAAGATGGGACATATATGAAACATTTGCACCAATGAGTAATGAATGATTCATGGTGATAAACATTTTTAATGTCTTTTCCAATGCCTTCCCCTCCCTCAGGATTATAATATTCTCTTGTACACTAAGATCATTTTGAGCCATTTTATATTAGACAATCTGAGGAGACGATTTTATATTACAAAATCTAAGCTACCTCTGCACAAGAAGGATTACATTTATGGTGTGGGAAAATACTTTTGTTCTTCAAGATCTCAAGGGTGTTGAAGTTTGATATTTCTGCTCTCTGGACCATATAGGGAAAGATGCATTTTTGTGTTTCCCTCCTCAAAAAATTCCCAGATCTCAAGAGGCAACAATTTAGGGTGCTATGTCTACATATCACTCTTGTTTCCCTTTGTTAGTTCAGGAGTGCTCACTTAATCCTCATTTTTCCCATATCTTCCGGGATCTGAGAAATCTTTCTAATAGTGACCTTTATTCATCCTAATGATATTTCATTGGTTACCTTTTATTAAGTCTGTGTCTTTTTTCCTAAATTATTTTAGAAACTTGTAATTATAACAATTCTAATGACCTGAGGTGATGTTGGACAGAGTAAGTCTGGCTCCAGAATAAAAATAACAAAATGATTTTATACTTCCCTGTCCTGGATTTCTTTGCTATAATTCCCAAATGTATCTAATAAAAGACTGACAGTTAGTGGGAGGAGTGGGAAGGAAATGGAAGGTGGGGAGAAGGTTGAAATTTTTAATAAATTAAAAAAAGGACTGACAGTTATGGATGTTTCATACTATCAAGAATGTGATAGGCTAGACTGAAAGTGGTTACATTAATAAAGATAAGGACCTTTTGATATCTCTAAATAATTTAACCTATGCTTTTTGATCCTTCTCTGTCCCACAAGAGCAACAAGGTAGGATGTTGGTAGTTTATGGCTGAAATGAAGGAAGCATGGAATGAGCAGAGACAAGATGAATGAATGAAAGATGAAAATATATTTCTCTAGAAAAACATGCAAATATACAATTTTTGTCTTTTCAATATGCTCTGTATTAATTTATACATGTACATAGCAGAAGCGTTTCACACAATTTAGGTATTACATGCAATCCTGTGATAAGTGAGTTTGATTTCATCAGCTCCTACTACATCAGCACAATAACATCTCAAATATTCCAGCAATATATTATCACATTTGTATCAGAGCTGCCTGAAATACAATGTGTTTGATGTTTGTAAACAAAAAATGGGAATATCACCATGTAACACTGTGAATGGAAAAAAAAATACCTTCGTTTTAATTCTTCCCTTACATTTAGAAAAGGAGTCACACTCTCAGTATCCAAAGTTCACCATCACTAGGGAAACACAGTCTTCTGTGGGTACACTAAATATGTAACCAGAACCAGTCATTTTTGTCTTTACACAACTAAATCACTTCTGAAAGGCAATAATATAAGATGTCATAGATGGGTCGAGATTTGGAGGGTTTCAATGAAACTCCTCATTTAGCATATAAGTTAAATAATGATAACTTTGCTGTTGCAGATTAAGAAATCAGTAATGATATTGGTTTATTCGTGGATCTTTAAAAATATTATACTGGGAAGTAAAGAGAAACATAATACTGGGTTTTGATGAGAAGCTCTGTGTTCTAAGATGAATAGTTATGTGGCTAATGAAGTCTTATGTTGTGTTTCCCCCTCTTTTGCTGATAGCAGCAAACAGGAGGTCAACTAGAAACTAATTTGTAATTAGCCGCTCTGAGTTTTCCCAGAAAATGCAGAGATCTTGTTAAGCTTTGAAGCTGGGTGTAAGGAATCTAATGGACTTGTATAGAGTCTTTTAATTACCAGCCATAAGCAAATCTATCTCTTACTGCTAGATAGCACCCAAGGGCAAGAGGTAATCTGCTTTATAAACCTTGGAATGATTTGCTTTATATATCTTGTAGTTTAGGAAAGTGGAAAACTCTCTTTAAAGAATGTTCTCTTTCATGGAGAATTATGTTTTTGGCAGTTTTGTGAAAAATTTGGTGATAGATTCTTGGTGACCTCCCAATTTATACATGTCAGTGACCAAAGCCCATCCAACATTGAGATCAATTTCTTACAGCATTTGGGTCTTCCTGGTGGACAGGATTATCCAAAAGCAATCTGAGTATGGGATAGTTCCAGAAAATTCACTCTAAATGCCTTTTTATTCAAAGTCTATCTTCTTGCCCAATGCACAGGTCATCTCTGTCTGTTTGTTTAAAAGCTACACCATCTTTCAGAGGTCATGTTATTTGTGCAGTTACATTGTATGGATGGTAACAATGCAATATAGGAATTGATTGAAATAAAAAAATTAAAAATTAGATCCATAGGCAAATTAGAAAGAGTCTAATTCAAAGTCTAGTGTTTAAATTAAAAATATATAGAGTGTTTTTTTAAAATTTCTCAAAGGTATAAATGGCTCAAGATTAACAAGGAGCACCCTGTATCTGAACTAGGTCAATTTAGTGGTATTTTTTGGATATCTTGCCTTCATTCTTAGACACTGGCATCTCAGTCCTAGACGAATGATGGTGTTCCCAAGTTGCAGTGGGAGACTCTATTCCTAGACAGTCTCCCATAGCAATAGTACCAAGAATAACTTATTCCTAGACAGTCTCCAAAGCAATAGTACCAAGAATAACTTTCTTCAAACATCACTATGAACAAATTCACTTAATAATTCTTCACGAATGATATGCTCAGCTCCTGGGAGGATGGGGAATCACTTGAAATGCATGGTCTATCTTCACCCAGGAAATGAAGGCTCAGTGGATCACAACGGGGTAGCTTCACATTCAAGCAGATGAGTCCTGCTCGACGGCAGATGGGTCTTGCTGGATGACGTTCAAGGGAATCATTTCAGTAACCTCTTCGACTTGATTGTTGTTGACTGGAGGATTTCTTGGTTCCTGATGGCAGATGTAAATGGGGAGGCCACCAGGCTCAGCGAAGGCTGTAACACGAGGAGCAGCGACCACGCGATTGGTGGTGCGGCGGCGGCGCCTTCCCCAGCGCTGGCTCCACTGGATCTTGAACTTTGCCCACTGGCGTTTCACGGCAACTTGCACCTGGAAGAACAAAAGGATCCTTGCTTTCAATGACTGTCAGCTTAAATGCTTGACTCTTGGGGTGAATGAAGGTTAAATTGTAGATCTACTTTAAGAATGGAGTTTATACCATAGTTATGAAATATACCACCCTGGAATAATAATATGCCAGTCAAAGAAGCGAGTTACTAGTCTGGGCAACAAGAGGCAAGCTAGTCGCCATTTTTTGTTTGTTTGTTTTTGTTTTTGTTTTGGAGTAAAGCATTCAGTCTTTGTTCCCAGCGCCTGTGAAGGAAGGTTGACTGGTCTCATAACATAGTAGGTATCCTCATTAGAGGATAAGACTTAGGAAAATATTTACCTGCTGCCATTCGTGCTAAAACATGATTTCATCCAAATCCTAACTTGTGGATTATGAAAATATATCCATAAACGACAACACAGTCCTAAATTTTATGATAATAAACCCATGTTGTGGATTTACCCTTACCAAACAAAGTTCCAAATGAGGTGTTCCAGATAAAATTCTGGCTAAGACAGTAAAAACCTTTTAAAAATGAGACTTTAGTCTCTTTTAGAAAACAAAACAAAACAACAACAACAACAAAAAACCCAACAAAACAAAACAAAAGCCAATCAGAATAATTTAACAATCAGATCATTTGAAATCCTGGACTTCTCAGACAAACTGTGGTTATAAGTGTTTGTGTGTAGCATTTTAGATTCAGTTTAGATTAAACAGACAGAGAGACAAATCTTGAAGTGCTAACAGCTAGGGCATGCCATGCAGCTGGAGTTTGCCTTGATAGAAGTCATACAGGGACAAGGGATGGCGTAAAGCATTACTGATTGCTGTGGACCATATTGTAATCATTTGATTTGCATTAGTTTATTAACCCTCACAACAGCCTCCTTCAAAGGGCACCACTGTCATGTTCACTTACAGAGCAGAAGGCTTAGACTATGCCATGTGTGCACAATCAGGGAGTTGCAATGTGGCAGAACCTGAGTTCCAAGGGAAACCTGGCTTTGTGTGTAGTGTAGATAAATTCTTCGATGTTAGGTTTATAATCTAGAAACCATCAATGTACTCTTGAGAAACTAGGAGAGATGCCAGTTCAGTATCTTTGGAGATGCAGTGTCTGTTGAGAAAGGAAATCAATAGTTTCCATGGATTCAGTTTCTCTTAAATACCAAGGTTTTTCTTACAGCCAAACCTTACTTGAAGTTTTAGAGACACTATTGCAGATGATTACAAATGTAGCGATAGCTGGTATAAGTGCCCCAAGAGGGGAAAACACCCCTCTATATTTCCCTTACCTGCCATTTCACAATCCCCACTAGAGCATCCACATATACTGAATTACCCAGTTCAACATGAGGCCGAAAGATTTGAAGCCAATTTTAATTTAAAAAATTGTTATTATAGGAAGTTAGCAACCTTCTCTAGCAGCATTCCAAATTAATTAGCTATTTTTTTGTGTAGTGATGACAATCTGCCTCCATTTATAAAGTATCTATTAGAAACAGGCACTGATTAGCATGCAAAAGATACTGCAATGGTTATAGTCTAATAAGAGTAATTATCTCTTATAGTAGTAGATGGATCTAGTACATGGACTGGATGTACTTTGATGGTAAGAATAAGGGCACTTAACCTGTGATCTTGAAAAAAAGCAAAATCAACCCAATCCTGACACTTTGTCGCTTCTGGAAAGCAGGAGAAATGTGTAGAGAGGTCAAGAGGCAAGTATAACACGTACCATTCTGGATTATATATGCTTATTGCTCATTGTGAAAAAGCAACAAGCACAAATAACTTTAATTTTTCTCACTGATTTTTATCAATTTATTTATTGTTGAATTTGAAGAATGAGAGTTTGGTCTGGTGTTCTGAAGATACAGTTGTCCTCGCTGGTATGCTTGGTTCCCTTACTTGGGGAGACACACGTTATACTGGAATATCCTTGGTTAGGTTTAGATGCTTGAGGTGTCTCTCTCTTTCCTTGTTAAGCTTATTATAAGCACCTGTACTTGTGTGCTGATGCATGGAAGGTGGGATTTTCCTCCAACAATGGAAAGAAAGAGTTCAGTCTCCCTCTTCATTGTCACTCTGTCACAGTCTTACATACCTGTTGCTCTTAGTTTGTCCATGGACCCTCTATATAAGGCTTTGTTTCCATGATGGTAGTCACTGAAGCAACATGTTGATATTAAGTCAGAATTAAAATTTCAATTTGTACCATTGCATTGCTGACCTTGAATCTTTGCCAAAACTCAATACTCAGCCAGATAAAAATCTCATGACATACCTGTCTCAGATGTGGGTAGAAATAACTTCCTATGAGTGTGTGTGTGAATGCCTTGCTTGAGGTCAATGACAGAAGGGGAAATGTATGCAGAAATGTCCAGCTGAGACCACAATGCCTGATATCTGTAGCATATCATTTTTGTATTATTAGAAATGTCACACTTATACCTTTCTCTAGCTACATGATCTTAATGAAAATAGAAATGTTTCAAAAACAGAGAAAACATATGCAATAAACTCCAGCTATTTCAACTGTCAAGAATTCCCCTTGGGTTTACTTTCTATGTCTGAGACTCCCAGTGACATCGTAGTTAAAACACAATAAATATTGTAGCATTTTTTTACAGATGAGTGCAATCCTCTTGTGCTTTACAAGGCCTGGTCCTTCTGACTCTGGCTTTTCTATTAGCCCTGTTTTTATAATGTTTTAGATGAAAGAGTTTATTTTGTGTACTAAAAAACAACTCAAAATACAAGAGTCTACTTTCATAGAGTATTCTCATGGTGCAGTATTCTACGTGGGATGACAGAAGCCATGTTCATGTTTTAGTATTTACTGTCAAAGGATGAAAAGAGGGGTAGAGGTTCCTCTATCAGTAAGAAACAGAAGGCCATCTCATTTTTATCCTAGACGCCCAGTGCACCCCTTAGCAATCATGAGTATACAACTACATTTTGCCAAATGGGGGAATAAACTGTTGGGGAGAAGAGGAAGATGTATCAGTGAAAAATGAAAGTAAATTTTTTTCTAAGTTGGACTTGGAAATGGGCATCAGGTAACGAAGAAGGCAAGTATTTCCATACTCACTGTATATTATCTAAATAAATAATACAGCAGGTATCAATTGTTAATGATTAGAAAATGTTCCTAAATACTAACAGGATAGTATTTGGTCATACCTTACCAAACTATGATTTGTCATAGCTACTTTTAGTAGAATTACTTTTAGCAGGAATTAATTTACAATGACAGAATACCTGTGCATTAAAACTATGTGTTATTGAGAAAGTAGAACACATCTTCTAGGAAAGGATCACATACATAGATAATTTATTTAAATTTAATTAATTTAACTGGGAGTCAGAACGTCTGGATTCTGGTTGTGGCTGTCACAGCTGTATTTGTGATATTGGGTCAGTAACACTATTTTTTTTTCCTGGAGCTTAAACTGATCACCTGCAATTTGATTAGAACTTTCGAATTGTATTCATTGAGATCACAGAAGTTTACTAGAAGAACCTCTAGGGCTACAGCAGCTCTCCTTTCACATTTTATAATTGAACTGTCAGTCAATATTTTGTTGGAGGACAGTGGACTCTGGCTGAAACTACTTGAGTAACCTGGTTGTGCAGTTTCTGCCGTACACTGAACCAGATATTCACATAAGGCTTTATTTCATGACAGCAATCACTGCATGTGTTTTGAGAATCCTTTTTCAGTTTTAACTTGAGGGTCATTTTTCAAAACATATGAATACATGGTCTTAAAGTGGCATAAAGTAACTGGAAAATAGGAAAACACTGTTGCAGCCCAGGTGTGAGTTTCCAGAAAGAATAGGTATATGGCTTCTCATTCTATGGGAAGCCAGAATAGCTTTCGCCATTGCTGTGGAGCATGTTGACCCACTCAGCATGCAACTGAAGGAAGTGTGAACATAGCATGCTCCTTGTGTCCTATGTGTCACTGCACCACACACCTGTAGCTGAGATCAGCTTGAAGTAGTAGAAAAAAACCACTATCCCATTACTCACACACCTTTATGAGATCATGCAGAAAGGAGATCTGGAGAAATTGCACTGTGGTCCTTAGGAAACTGCAAAATGCTGACTTTATGTAAATGGATGATAGCATTACAGGAAATGCATGCTTACCTCATGGTTGCAGAAGCAGTAGATAGTTGCAACAAAGAATCCCTGAAAAGAAACAATGTATTTGAAGTTCTTTATATTTGCATGATGTCATTTCCTAAAATCAACACACATAGACTGTCTAGAGAGGAATATTCCACTATTGCAACAGCATGCCATGGTTTGATGAAACAGAAAGACAGAAAAAATAATGACCTACCTCTTCCATTCAATGATAAGCCACAAAAGTATTACCATTAGAAGTTTATTTTCTGCTCAGTGGTAGATCATTTACCTACCATGTATGAAACCAGGGGCGAATCTTCAGCACAAGAATTTAAAAATTATTCTCTCAGTAGAGGAATGTGTTTCTTGTAAAGATTCGCAACTAGAAGGGCTCTAGTGAATTTGCTTAATGTATTGCTCTGTTTAATATGGAGAGTTTTGGTGAGCGTGCTGGTTTTGGTGGATTTGGAAAGCTTGTGTACCTTAAGAATTAAAAGCTGTGGCTATCAGAGAAACCCTTTGCATGTCTGAGTATGAAGCTGTGAATTAGTCTTTAAGACACCCAGACTCATTTGACTTTGGGGTCTTGCTTAATCCTCATAAGATGCGTTGTGCTGAGTTTTAAGTATAATCTCAATAGCTTAGGTTATTAAAGAAACATCCAGGATTTATTTTTAACCTAATTAACTTTGGCCTTCTCCTCACATTAGGCCTTGGCAGTTGAAAAAAAATGTAGTGGATTTGAAATTTACAATTGAACGAGAGAAACTCTTGCCTCAGATCCTGGGTTAGAACCTCTCCCTGAGAACCTCTTCATGCCAAACCGACTTGACTCTCAAAGTGCTGAGAGGTTGCCTTTAGTAGAGTCTGTGAGCTGACCCAAAGCTCTGAAGTGAGTGGAAATGAAGAAATCACTTGTCTAGGTTGGCTAACTGTGCAGCCCAGGACTGCTCTGGTGGCTCACTCAGTGCTCTCCTCCATGAGAAACCCAGGTCCACTGTTCCTGTTTAGTCCCAGAACTCTTGTGGGTAGATTTGACAATGAGAGGTAAAGGAGCAGGAAGCATGGGCAGCTCTGTGTAAATGCGTTCCTCTCACCACTTCAGAAACACACTGCTTTATGAAAGACATGCCTGGTACCTTCTTGATATACAATTAGTTGCCTGGGTGGGATCAGTAGAGGGTTATGAATATCAATAAAGGGGAAACAAATGTCATACACAATCTCTTTTCCTTCAAAAGTTTTGGTTGGGTCTGATGAGTCGAAGGCTGTGAGTTTTGACTTTTAAGATCATAATCTTACAAAAAAAAATCATGGGTTTTCATCAGATGAACCTAGTAGGAGAATAAAGAACGGAGTAAACATACATGTTGGTTTCCTTACCTGGAAATGAACCAGAGAGTGCATGACATAATCGTAGATCTTCCCAAGAATCTTGTTGGAGGGCCTCCAGGGAAACACCACAAACTGGATCCCCAGCAGGGGCACAAGGACCATGGTAGCTTTCACAGCTTTCAGGTACATGTAGGTTTCTGCCTGATGAGTTTGCCTCAACTTGGTCACAAGAACACGGACGATGTTGAGCAGAAAGAAGAAATTGACCTGCAAAGATTTGTATGAGCAAATAATCCATTATTGTCCTGTGAGACATGCTGCCAGGTCAGAGACTAGAGAACTTTTAAAATAAAAGAAGTCGACATCTTCTGAACCACAGATTTTCTTGCTCTAAAGACTAGTTTTGAAAATAAAGTTTTAAAATAATCTAATTGTAAGTGCTCAGAGTGAATTTTTAAATCCTGGCATAGAAATTGCCATTGTGCAAAACATGTAGACAAGAATGAGACCTTTGATAATAACTGAATTATCTAGACCTGAGTCCTCAATGGAATAAAGGAATAAAAGGAGATGAGAATGAGCATTCAGCCCCCATCTCCTGACTGTGGGCATGGCAATGTGTCAGTGTCTCATCTGTCCTGCACTCGTGGTCATGAAGACCCACGTCAGTGCCTCATCTGTCCACAAAGGCCTGTGACAGTGCCACATCTGTCCACGGAGGCCTGTGTCAGCACCTCATC